GATGAGGGCAATACTTATATATAGAAGGTGCACACAGTGTCATTCACACAAACACTAAACCCCATCATGGTGACACACATGATACTGAAATAATGCAATAAACATTAATTTAACAACATTAGATGTAAGATTAAACCCTACTGTACACATCTAATAAGAAAAAACGAAGAAGAAACATGTTATTTCAACAAAAAAACATCAAATATGAAGTGTCATGCAGGGAATTCTGGGAGTGTCAATTTACGGTTTTTCACTGTAAATTATACAATGACTTTTTCTTTTTCACTTCCAAAAACCGTTTTTGTACGCACAATTTTTTAACAATGACACTTTCTACTTTTAAAACAACTACTGGACAATCCAAAATCATTTTCTGAGCCAAATAACATTATGCAACAAATAATGTAGATAATCATGATTTTATTTTTCTAATCATGATTTAATAATAAAAACGAATAAAGTTAAAAACTTAATAAAATACAAGCTAATTCATATCAATATACTGTAAATAAATATACTACTATACTATAGTACTATAAAAATACTATAATAGTACACACATAACACAGTCACAACAGATCGAACCCATCATCTCAGCTTAGTGATTCAGAGCAGAAACAGGCAATCTACAGTAATAACCTCATTTTCACCATTTCATAAACAGGATTGGAAAGTCGCTGATGTTTAAAGATGATTTGCTTTGTCAGAACTCACAATCTGCTGAAGTACATTATAATAATAATGCTCAGACCACTGCCACAACTAATATCCCGCCTCCCATGAACAAATGAGCTCTGTGCTTCACAAACAGGATGGCGGGCCATAATTTCTGGCACTGCTTCTACTGGAGCATTAAGAAAAACTGTTTTCAGGCAAAACTGCATCCGAGGAATTGGAGCTGTGCACAAACAGGAATAAAATTAATAAAAAATAAAGCAAAAATAAAGTAATAAAATAAAATTACATATAAAGTAAAACAAATAATAATAATAAAAAATTAAAAAGTAGTTATAATATAATGATTCAAGTAATGTAATGACTCAAATCAAGAAGGAGATGTCATGGCTGATATTAATCATGGCTGATTACTCATCACACTTATATGGAAAGTCAAGTCAAGCACATTGCATTTGTGGGATACAGTATTGCATGTACACTCTGGGCCAAAAGAGGCCGTGTGTCACAGAGATTTTACCACTAAGCCTGTGACTTGGAACCCACACACATAATGCTGGTTTATTCCTCACTGGTTGAGCACAAATGTGGTAAATAAATAAAGTCAAGGCATTGGGTCAGATTTCAGTGGTGTCATTCCAAGGACAACTATTTATGAATTCCCAGAGTTCAAGCGTGTCTTTGCAAAATTTGATTCAGATGAAAGTGAGGAATTTGACATGGTCTGGAAGCCATCAGTTCTTACCATTTGTTTTGACAGCTGAATATATATGTGTGTTCTATTCTAACATCTGGCATTTGTGTTAAATTTGTTCGGCCCATTTAATTGCTCGTCTTAATGCTGACAGAGCACATCGGGTTTCACAATGTCAGTTTCTCGTTTATCAATGACCTTGACTTGTCATTGATAAAGTGTTCCTTAAAAAGGTACTGAGCCTTAACTAACTGAGTTTATAATTTAGCAGGTGTGCTGCACCTAAAAATCACAACATGTCTTGTATTGATGGTGTTTGAGAAAACACTCCAGCAATGGCATAGAAATTCCGTAAAATCAACCAAAATAACCTAGCAACTGCATAGCATTGAGTACAGATTGAGTCTCGAAAACATCTAAACTGTCATGCAAAAGTTCTGGGTTACTATGGGTAAGATGATCAGTCTCATACTTCCACTATGTGAACAGCATGTTTTCTTCTTAATAAGGGGCATGAGACTTTAAGCATGACTAGTGCTGCTGTTTGATTTCACTTCCTGCTAAAAGATGTTATTCCAGCTGTGGATGTGGAGCCGTAAAGCACATAAACACAGAAAATCTCTTGTTTTTTTTCTCACTACAGGTCTCAGCATATCTAAACGAACTCTAAACACAAACAATTAACCACTTTAAACAGGAAGACTGATAAGAGAGAAACAACAAATGTAAGCAAGCTGACATGCCAATTTTGGATAAGTTAGACAAACATGGATACACTATTTTTAGAATATTAGGCAGTATATCTTAACGTTAAAACAGCAGAAAACAGTCTGAAGATCTGGGAACCTGCAAACAGATAAAGTTTTGAGGTTTAAAAAAAAAGTTATGATATCAAAAAACATAAAATAAATAAAATGTATTATAATTTTAGTTAATATTTCGTATGTATTTTTATAATATTTATTGTAGTATATCATTTAATGTTATTTGACATACATTTTGAGACTAAAAAAGACTGATTAAAAAAAAGACTGAGAAAATAAGCTGAAGAAATTTATATATATATATATATATTATTATTATTATTATTGGTTTTCCTATTTTTACCCAAATAGGATGGATTAATCATTATTGAGTGCTATAAACACATGTAATGTCTGTTTCATTCATACTGGGAGCTGGAGGGCACCCTCGAAACTCCAAATACTTCTCACAGACGTAATAGAACTTATGATGCTCCAGGAAATCCCTAATATGGATAAAGGCATCCAGCTCTCGCTCTAGCTGAGTAAAAAGAAGATAGAAACTTTTGAATGATGAAACAAAGACAATAAACACTCTGCGACAATACATAGTTTATCTGTGTTCTTCAAGCCATCTTGGGTATTTTCATAAAAATTAAAAGGGTCATATGATGTTGCTAAAAAGAACATTATTTTGTGTATTTTCGCTTTCGCAACGAAACACACAGCGTCTTCACAACATGGCGGCGGCGGTGGCAGCAACAATCAAAGAGAAAGGAAAACTTGAA